TTTTACCGCCAGTCTGCACCACCAAAAGGTCGAAATTGAAATCAGCTCGAAATCGGGGACTGTGACAGGCCCTCCAATTAGGGCAGTGAAATTTGGGTCACATTTTCTGATAGCAATGCCGCTGTTGGGAGTGGTATATGTACCACCGGAAGGTCCGGAACTCGGAGGAACTCTTGCAGTACGTGCGTACCATGGCACGCGGGTCCTCAGCGAAGGCGAAGAGTTTTCTGCGGATTCCTTCTCGCGGCGCCAAGTGAATCCGCACCCTTCTTTCTCGTCAACTTTCCCTTCGACCTCCCTTCAAACAACGAATCACTTCTCACGCCAGATCTCCGATTGTCTTACCGACGTACTCTGCTGCACCATTGTGGCTCGCCAAACAGTCCTCCGTTCTTTGGGCTGCGAGGAGCCAGCGACGACGACTGGCACAGATAAATTTCCTAATTTCCTCTAGGGAGGCGCCCAGGTGAGTTTGGGGAGGTGGGAACCTAGTAGACATGCGCATCTCTGCGATCCGTTCGTCCGTGGGGAAGAAACGGTGGTCGATCCTCCCACTGACGTCGTTTGAATCGAGACTTTTGCACCGCCGGCCGACGGGACAGGACGGGACCTTCACGGACCCGGGACCAGCAAACATCCTAACATATGCGCAGATAAAACATCAAGATCTGCGTTGTTGCCCACAAGCGATATCGACGCACAAAGACATGCCACCGCGCCAGATTCTTCAATTGCAACGAAAAAATGTTCATTGGCTGAACAATTGGCGACCGGGAATATTAGAATAACGAGCGCGACCGCCGAGCCTTCCCAAGAACGAACATCTACCCAGGGAAGGGATTAGGACCTGCGATTCGGAAACAATCCCGATGTACCGAGACCTGCAATAGGAGTAGCTCTTGCCAAAATGTGCGCCGACTCAAGGGCAGTCACGTCATCGGCCGAACTACACCATCGCTCCAATTATACGACCGGCCACCGAGATAAGGCGGTCAGAATGGAACGGCAAGCATACCGGCAAAGCAATCTGAAGAGTTCGTTGTTGGGCTACTGCTTGGGTTTTGCGTTTCTTTATTGTCTGTATTGACTGAAAAACAAAAGATCACAATCAAGCCACAATTCAGTACGGGGCGATGTGTTACTTACCAGTCAACATGCAGCTACTGTCGACCGTTTCAAGGTTCACGATTGCTCTTTGAGAACCGTTGTTGGTCGATCGAGTTCGGAGAGCTCAGTGACTTTGATGTCGCCTCTGGGGGTCCGTTGTCGCACTGGAGGTTGGTGAAGCATCCGGGGGCTTTGGTTTTGCCATCTGCGGTGATACATAGGGTACTCTCCACCCAGCGTCAACGCAAGGTCTGTCCAGAAGACATGATCGACGGATCTTGATTCTGAAAAATCTGCCACGTCTTGAGCGGCTTGTATTCGAATCGGATGCGACTCACCTACTATGGGAATCTCCAGCGTCGCTCACCCCTCCCTGATTCAATCTCTGTTTGATTTCTTCTTGCCCTGGAGGTGTCCTGTCAGAATCGGTGAGTTTGACCGTTTGTTTGGTAAGCTGCAACGACTTTTTCTCACAGTTAAAAACAAGGGTTTGACCTTTTATCGAGCTCGGAGCCCTTCTTTCCTCATCGCCGTGTGCAGACTAAAAATCCTACTATCCCTACTATCCATGTGCCCCGACCCCACTGTGATTTATCCAAGCTTCACCAGTGCCATGGTCGAACTCGAGCAACAAATCAGCGTCAGGCAAAGAAGGGGAAGAGGCTCGACAACCGGGAGTGCTCCCCTTCCCCCGGCCGTACTGCCCGCCCCTGTGCGCTACATCTATCTTCGTGCTAGTGCGGTGCGCACTAATTCAACCACAGCACAACGGTATCCTCGCCCTGGTCCCTGGGCCCGCAACACCGTCTTTGATTGGCGGCACTGGGACGGTGTGTTGGTGTCCTCAGCTTCTTTTCTTGTGGAGTTGACCTCTTGTAGGTTGGGGGGCATCTCAACGGCGCGCCAACCAACACGGGCGTGGCCGGCTGCTTTACGGGGTTGAAAACATTCATGAAGGTGAAAATTGTTGGGTGGCTGGACAACGAATACGGATGGAAGCTCACACATTCCCAGAACTTCTTGCCTTGATTTGCCTGGTGGACAAAATGCAGCGAACGGGCCCAACACGATATATTGCTGAATGGGAGCGCCCCAAGTGGATCAAATTTGTTTTCAATGGACACGAAGGGAAAATGGCGGGCGAGAAGTCAATGCGGACGTGTCCATCCGCCCATTTGTACAATTTATAGTTCTCATCTAGATGTACATCGGCGATTCGTGAGATATCGTAATATGCTGTGGGAGTTGGAAGTTCAACTATGACTCGTGATGTGAACATATCATTTCATCAATGGACATACTTGGGACTTGAGGCCACAAGGCAGGGATAACTCTATTCAGCAACCCCCAACGTGATCAGCCCATGTTATATATCTCTAAGCTCATACCCGAGTAATAGCATTAATGCCCTCTGTGCGGGCCTGGATCTTCCGGGTTCCGGTCTGTGCTGGTTGAGATCCAGTACAGAAGGAAAATTCCTTAGGACCATAGCCATGTCAATAGCTCAAAGGTCTTTGTTGAATCTTGAGCTCTGTATTCTTTGAACAGAGAAGAAAAAACTGACTGCCACCCTACAAACACACTGAAGCCGTTGTTGACGGTTTCGTTATTGAAGTCTTCAAATTTCAGTCCTTGGATTTTCTTTGAAAAAAGGGACTGGACTCCGGGCGTGCTGAACTTGTTGTTGACGGTAGTCTTGGACCACTTCTCATGACAGGGTTCCTGGAACAGGATGTCATGAGAGGATTTGGAGAGGATGGTCTGAGACTACGTTGACGGTCCGAACTATCACACTCAAATCTTCAACACCTGGATTCTCTTCACAAAAAACTATTATGTTCAAAATCTTTGAATCTCAGTCCTCCATTTTCTCTGCAAAAAGGAACCTCTCTCTGAACATTTAAAGCGAGACCGGTCCCCGAGGTCGGAGATCACGAGCCAAGGTTATTGATGCCGTGGTCAGAGTAGGAGATGGGAAAATCCAATGGTTGGTTCCAGTCTGATTCAAGAGCATCCTAATATTGCATTTGCGATGGAATTGAGAGGGACGAAATGTGCATGCCAGGAGAATAATAAGTGAGGTTCAAAGCAAGGTAATCTGATCCTGGTATGATAGCAGACCAAACTTCATGACAACCTCTAATTTTGGGTGTTTTAATCCAGGATTGAAGATTTAGAGCCCCAGAAAGCTGTTTTATAGACAAAATTTTCATTTTGAGGGGTGTTATACCGTGGGAAAAAAAAGCGCGAAATTTAGCCCAGAGATGAAAAACTCTGTATACCTTTGTGGCCGTGAGGGTGACTCTGGTGATACTTCTTGCACTAAAGAAATGATTGAATGAGATATTTCTGCTCCTAGAGCCCAAAGGTGGACAATTTTTGACTTGGTGGTATGGTAAAGCATCAAAAAAGGAAATTGATTGACGTACATAGCCACCGGCTACCACCGGCCCGAGATCAAAAGCGCGAAATCCAAGTGAGAAAAATTATTTTTTGAGTTTTCAAACTTTTGGTCTGGGGGATCTTTAGAGCACCTTCTTGTGGTACTATTCATGCATTTTCATCATGATCCGGTGAAAACTCAGGCAGTAGTAACGATTTCCAAATCCAGACACAAACTTGTCACGAAGTTTGGTCCGCTATCATACCCTCCGGAACATGGACCATATCGGACTGGCCCATATCTAACTTGAAGTAAATGATGTTTATAAAATACTGGGGGTTGCTGGATAGCTGCAACCTGGGGCACTGTCAGCAACCGGGTTGCTGAATAGAATTATCCACAAGGCAGTACAAGTCATTTTGAAGAACTTTTTTGTTTTCCCTGTTCTGCATATTCAACTCCAAGGTATCGAGCTGTAATAACAGATCACAGAGTCCAAACCATCTTCGTCACTTAGTTACTTCGCTTAGGAATGTGAAAGTTCGTGACTTTGATGGGAATGTGTGAAAGTTCGTCATATTGCCTGGTTTCTGTGAGTTTGTATTCCGGGCTTGTCGAGCGGCAACTCTTCGGCACATCACGGAATGATGGGAATCCTCAGTTGCCGAAATGGCTGGTTAGGTTTGGGTTGGCTGGTTAGAGGTTAGAGGTTAGTGGTTAGTGGTTAGTGGTTTGGGTTGGTTGGTTAGGGTTAGTGGTTAGTGGTTAGAGGTTAGTGGTTAGCGGTTAGGGTTAGTGGTTAGTGTTAGCAAGGGATCTATATAAAAAAACACACCCGGCCTTGCTGGAGGAACAATGATGGCCGATGTTCCGGGTTTCTGAACGTGCCGAGTTAAACTGACGAACTTTGACAGAAACCAGGCAATATGACGAACTTTCACACATTCCCATCAAAGTGACGAACTTTCACATTCTTGACCGAAGTAACTAAGTGACGAAGGTGGCTACAACTCCAGATCACAGCATCGCAGCCAAGCGTTCGGATGTGATTGGGGTCACTGTGAGCCGGCTCCACGCACCGACTCCGGAAACTCGTAATATTCCTCATGATGATGGAAATGACTAGGGGAGAAGGAGGATATTCCCTTACAACAACGAGCATATTCAGAACGTTAAAAAGAGACGGCACTGCTGGGAGTTGAACCTGGGACACCTGCAATAACAATCTGCTGTGCATCAAGTAAACTGTGGTGCAACACCCTATGCTACGGCACCGATGGGTGCAGAGGTTGTTTTGAGAACACATTCCATCAACGATAAAAGCATAGAAACACTGTTAGATCCCCAATTCAGCCCTTCCGCCGCTTGAAGAACATGTTCCGCTGCTTGGAAAACCCATCCTGCCACTTGAAAGGTCCTATCTGCCGATCCTGAACGAGAAACAACCACCAAAATTGCAGTGGAAAACAAGTCGCATCGGAAAAATACAAACTGGATCATTCAAGACAGACAGCCCTGCCAGGAATCAAACCTGGAGTCTCCGCAGAAATCCTTGGTCTCAAAAGAGGCATTTGCAGCGCGTTAACCCTTACGCTACGGGACCAATACAGAGATGGAAACGGAGGACCCTTCTTCAAATTATAAATACACTTGACTAAGAAACCCACACATACATTCCAACCGGCCTGGATCAATTATGCCACGAAGGAACACATGGTGGAATCCCGTCCAGTAATAACAGATGACTGACAGGATTTATGGCGGCAGAATCTCTGGAGTCCGGCTCACCTAGCTGGATACCAGCAAGAAGAAAGGCAAAAGAAAGTCACACAGAGAGAACTTTAGACCCTTTATGGGGGGTCGTAGCTAGCGTACAAGTGATAGTGGTCAAGAACAAGGAGAGTGTGTCCGTGTTTGGGTGTAAGGCCATAAGTAATAGTCGTAATCAGTATGGCAGGATTACAATCTCAAACCTACCACTATTAAAGAAGGCAGGACCATCGGAAGGCGATTATTGGCTAAGCTGAAATTGCCTGAACGGGAAGATATAGCTGATGGCTGAACCACAACATCCATAATGGGCGGATAACTGAAGGTTAACATCGAGGAGAGTCTGATTCCATGGAGGGCTTGTGTTCCGCCATGGAAAAGAGGGAATTCCGTTGGCGGAGGTATGATGCAGGTACGCTGTGTCAGACTACAACCACGAGGGTCCGCTGGCAACCAAAGAGTCGGTTCCGCCGGCTCTGCCAAACTGTTTCATGCACAACAGAGTCAGTGGGGGCCCAACATTACTCCTGGGAAGGCAGTGTACTGGGCTCCACTGGGGTATAAATACGAAGTAGAATCTGTAGTAACAGTATCTAGTTCTCCCCTTGCAATCTAGGTGTTTAAAATCACTCTGGAACAGAAGGGAACAGTCAATGAAAAGAACCTAAGGTCACTGAGACTGAAGGGAACACCTTTCCTCCCCTTCTGCCTCACTCCACCACCGTTTCCTCACAGCGGAGACACTTATACCCCACCCTTATTCGATATTTGCCTCCTCCATTGCCGTATAGGCCCAAGCAGAGCAGAACTCCCACTACAAACGATGCTGCGGATGACGTCGTATTCATGTGTAGCCATTAAAACCCCATTGGGACATCTGGTCCTACAGTAGAGCAGGAGAATGATGGCACACCATCTGAGAAGCTTTCAAAGGAGCAGACTCTTTGATGGAAAAAGGGATTCTCCGCAGAGGCAGAAGAAAGGAATGAAGCAGAGAGGGATTGTGCGGAATATCAACAATTGCAGCGGACCCACCCTATATTTGTGTTTGGTAACACTCTGAAGTCGGGTTATACGACGGTGGAGACTTAAAAAAAAATAGGACCAACATACCCCAGACTAGCGCCAGTGCTTCCCTCCGCATCACATCACAACCAACCTCTCTCGTTCCCAATTGTAGAGCGGAAAAGCAGCACTACTGGAAGGCTTTTCTCTCCCATAGGGAAGGAATCAGCGACCTTAGGATTCCTCCGTTGCGAGACGGAGTAGTTTGTACACTACCACACTTTTAAAAACACGAATTCTGCAGCCGTTGAGAGACTTCAGATATACAAATTTCCCCATAGAGGACGAACTGCTGAGTCTGCCAAGCAACAAACCAACTTGCTGTTATATACCGAGCCGGGATGGACCTAAAGAGTAAAGGCTGAAGGACCGGAGGCTCCGGTATGTTGGAGCGTTGGAGGGCCAGAGGGTCCGGAACATATACGAAGGAGGATCACAACACCACAGGGGGTCAAGGGTGAGTGACTACCCTGGCTGGCAGGTATCCGATAGAGGAAGACAAGTCGGAGTACCGGAGGGGACCGGAGAGTACGGAGACAACTCAGTGCAAGGGAAGTGAGCCAAGCAATGTCAATTATCAATCTGACGTACAGGACATATTAAAGACGTATTTATACTAAGTAGCTAATTGTTTTCCATATAAGGAAGGAGAGTGGTTCTTAACAATAAGACAAGTCAGAAGGACTGATAGGAAGTCGTATGACAATAAGATGGAAAGACGGAAAGACGGATAAACGGGAAACGCTCAGTAATCCTTCATTGCGTAAAAACCCGATGATACCGGATGGTCCGGAGGCTCCGGTAATATACCGGAGCCTCGGAACCTACCAGACGTACTGGAGGGTCAACGTGAGGACTGGGGATGTTGCATGGATATAACAGTATCCCCCTCTTAGGTTCCTCTCCCATGAGGAACCCAAAAGGAATGAAGTTTGTCAAACAATGAGGAAGCGTGGGAAAATAAACAAGATCAAAAAGTCACGTGCTGTTGGTTTTGACTCAGATGTTTCTTTCTTCTTGACCACCACCACCTCCGGCACTCAAACAGAGAACACCATGTCTTCGAGCGGAAACAGCGACGGTGGGTGCGAAGGTTCGAGCGACAGCGACCGCAGTGATGCCGGCAAGGGCAAGAGTGCCAGGAAGGGCAAGGCATGGGCCTCGATCTCGGAACTGCGCAAGGAGGCGGTGCAGTGGTTCTGCGAGGAGTGGGAGGAGCACCGGGCTCGTCTGATTTTGGTGTACCAGGAGCAGGCAGAGGAGGCCGCGGAGTGCACAGAGGTGGCGAGCGAGGAGGCCGCTCGAGCCCTCCAGCTCATTCATGACCTGGAGACGCTCGACGCGGAGGCTCCGGAATTTGATGAGGTGCCGGTCATCGAGACGATGAAGTCGGTGTCGCCGGAGCATGCGGAGGGAGGAGATGAGGTCGACAAGGATGACAGCGACATCGAGCAGGAGGGTGAGAATGGTGCATCGCAGTTAAACCAGAGGTTCCGGTACTAACAATTTTTATTTTCGTAGTCTGCGATTCCTGCCGCAAGAGTGGCCAAGTTTGCGTGGTCGAGGCGGGGCGCACCGCATGCCGGCAATGCCGTGACAAGCACATCCAGTGCAGTTGCGCGCGGCCCCTTGGTCCACCCCACGTCAACAAGCATCGTGCTGCGCAGGAGGCTCGTTGCCAAGGGTCCGCACCTGTTGCGGGGCCCTCGTGGACGTGCCGGAATGCCCGAACAGAGCGGGCCAACTGGAGCGACCGTGAGGTGCGCGATCACACGAGGAAGGAGCAGGAATGGAGGGCGTGGAAGGGGGAGAAGAAGGAGAGTGGGAGCCGGAAGCTCTGGGAGCTCCAGGCCGACGTTGGGTACCTCGTGGAGCAGGTGGGGCGCAGTATGATGCATTACAAGCTGGCATTCCAAGCGTGCTAGCTGATTTTGAAAATGCTCGCGGCGCTGGGGAGTGGAAGAGAGGTGCCTCCCGGAGTCGAGAGAATGCTCCGGTGGATGGCGGCAGATATGGAGGCCTCCGCTTGGGACTTCACCCTGGTGGAGGAAGCAGAGCTAGATCAGCTCGCGGAGGAGGAGGAGAAGGGCGAGGATGTGCACCCGGCAAAGCGCCGGCGGCTGATGAAGCGCAGAAGTCTCGTCGTGGAGGAGAAGGAGGTGGAACCCACCAAGTCGGAGGACTCGGAGGCGGAACCAGAAGCTCCGGTTGCGCCCCAAGCCCATTCTGAATCTTGGCCCAAAGATTTCCAATCCGTGGACGGTGGGGAAGACGAGAGGATGGAGGTGGATGCGCCTGGGGCGCCGGAGGGGCCCGAAGGGCCCGAAGAAGAACAAGTCGCCACGACGTCCAGAGTCGTGAGTCAGGTCGTGGAGGCGAGGACCATTACGGTCCTCACCTTCAAACCCGACCTGGAGCCCGTCCCACCTCTGCCGCCCACTCACTCGCCAGCACCGGAGCCTCCAGTGCAGGTGAAGAGGGAGTCGGAGGTGCGCGAATTCCAGACCTTGGTGCTCCAACCGGGAGCACCAGCAGGATTCCATGAGGAAGGCGGGGTTTTTGTTTTGGACAATTCGGACGAGGAGATGGGGGAGCCAGAGGCTCCATAAAAGCCGGAAGCGTCCGGAACGGAGGAGTGAAGGCTCTGGAGGCCTAAGGACAAAAGGACATTGTAAATAGAATGAATGAGTGCTGTATTATGAATTGGACGAAATTTTTTCTTGGTTTTAAATTTGTGTGATGAGTTAATAATTGGGTCCGGGCTTGTTAGGAAAGCACCGGTGAAACTTGTCGATGTGTTCGGCCACGTCCAAGTCATCCGCACCAACCGAAGCGTACTGATCGTCAGTGTTCTCGTATCCAAGCCACTCAACGTAGTACCGGAGCTTAGTTCAGAACCTCTGGTCGATCTTTGAGTCAACGATTTGCTTGATTTCGAAGTGGGACTCGCCGTCGATGATTTCTACAGCTGCCGGAGGTGGCTCCTCGTGTCCCGGGAATAGGTTCGGAACGTGCGGTTCGAGTTGGGAAATATGGAAAACTGGATGGACCTGTGACAATGATTTTGGAAGCTGAATGGTGTAAGAAGCGGCACTGGGTTTGTCAATAACTTTGTAAGGGCCAAGGTACGTCTCTGAGAATATCGGAGTGGGCCGGCTGGTGTGAAGATGCTTTGCAAGGATGAAAACCTGATTGCCGATCGAAAGCGGAGGTTGCAGGGACCGTTTCCGGTCTCCGGTTTCCTTGTACCGCTCCTGGGCAAAAGTGATTTGCTCCCGGAGGAACTGGTGAAGTTCCTGAAGATCAACGACAAAATCCTTGGCGTACATGTTCGCAACGTCACGCTCCGGATGGACCGTGATTGCCGGATTATAACCCTTGTTAGCGAAGAAGGGGGAGATGCCAGTTGAAGCGTTCGGAGCGTTGTTGAGAGCGAATTCCGTGAGCAGAAGGAGTCAGTCCCAATCGTCCTGTTGATACAAGTAGTAGATGCAGATATATTGTTCAACAGTCTGATTCATACATTCCGTTTGACCGTCGGCCTCTGGATGATAACCGGAGGTATAGTGGATCTCCATATTGAGTAGTTCGCCCAGCGACCGGAAGAAGGAAGCGATGAATTCGGAGCCCTGGTCACACGTAACATGTGCTGGAATGCCGTGTTTTGAAAAGACGTGAATGAGGAAGAGGCGAGCGAGCTCCGGCGAATTAATATGGGTATCACAAGGAATGAGAATGACCTGCTTGGATGACTGATCAACAATCACC